CGACGAGATTGTTAAATAAAAAAAAAGTTCGTTCCAAGCGTGTGAAAATTGTTCACAATTTTCTGCGTATGAAAAGAAAAAATTTCCGATTACGAAATTATTTTAAAAATTCAACCATCTGACGTGATGTACGTTAGTCTCGCGGCTAACAGGGGCGCCAATTTTGAAATGACGAATATCGGTTGATCTCATTCTTTTTCAAGAGAAGAAGAAATAAGAGACCATCGTTAATTTTACACGTCGAGGACAGCCAAATCCCTTGAAAGAAAGCACTTGGTTAGAATCTCAAAGAATTAATTCCATTTCTCGTCAATAATTCTACAATATACACAGAAACGGAAACAGCAGGAGAAAGGCGAGTTACTTTGGAAACAAATCGTCGTGTGCATGCACGCGACCGGTACAAAATCGTGAAGCAAATTCAAGTGGAAAAAGGCTGGCTGTTCGCATGCGGGTTATAAATACGGGTGCGCCATTGAGCAACGATATAAAGTATCTTTCGAAAACAATTTCGCCCGTAAGTAGCCGCACCTGTGACACATAAAACCGCTGGAAAGCCGCGCGTGGATAAAAAACATGAGAGACGTTTCAAAAAGAGAAACGGTAGCCGAAAAACTTTAAAGGGACCGGGGGATAAACGCCACTACGTGACTCACTCCGACAAACCATCGATGCGTCTCGTCGTTCTTGACATCCTTGTGGTCTTCTTTCGCCTCTGTCGAAAAAGGGCGAGAAGAAAGAAGGAAACGCAAAGACAGCATAGAAAGCGATGAACAATAAAGCACCAGAAGAGAGCGAGATCTCTTACTAAGTTTACTCGACCGAGAAAATACTGTGCGAAAACATATCGGACACGCTGCGAATTTCTACACATCGCCGATCGATGCTTTAATTTGAAACTGTCACGTTTAACGAAAATAATAACGAGCGAAGATTATTTCACAATTGCTGAAAATTACAAATTGTTAAAAATTGCCAGAATTTGTCAGTTAATGAAGTAATTCATGTACAAGTTTAATTAATCTTGGTGTGTAAATAAAATTCGTTTTCACAATATGCATGTGCATTACATGCACTTTGAATCTTCATGTAAATTATTTTATGTATAACTGATTATTACATTATTCTACTAATTTTTAAAATTCACTAACATTACATTATTCTACTAATTTTTAAAATTAAAATTTTAAATTTTAAATTTTTAAAATTAATTATTCTACTAATTTCATTAAATTTAAAATTAATTATTCTACTAATGTATTATTACATTATTCTACTAATTTTTTAAATTCACTAATATTACATTATTCTACTAATTTTTAAAATTCACTAATATTACATTATTCTACTAATTTTTAAAATTCACTAATATTACATTATTCTACTAATTTTTAAAATTAATTATTGTACTAATTTTTAAAATTCATAATATGCATGCATTACTATGAATCTTCACGTAAATTATTTTATGTATAACTGATTATTACATTATTCTACTAATTTTTCTATTTTATGTACAACTGTATATTAAATTATTCTAATTATATGCAACTGATTATTAAATTATTCTGATTATATATAACTGATTATTAAATTATTCTATAACTGAATCGATAACGGTGAAAAATTGTCGACAATTTAAACTGTTATAACTTGGCAAAAAACAAAAAGAGATCATGTAACGATCCACTTGATCACATTTTAAGGCCCTCTACGTTCGCATTCTTGAATTCGTTTTTTCCAAACATAACTCCACATCACGTAACGGGTAAAAAAGGTAGCTATAACCTTTATGTCTACCGTCTTTATGTTCCACAAAATGAAATTTCTTCTTTACAACGACCTCTTTCAGAACCCGTTGCAGAATTTCTTTTTTATTGAAGCTATTTTCATCGAATTGAACAAAATTCAGATTTCTTGAAACTTTTGTCGTTCAACTCTTCAACATTCAAAGTTCAAGCAAAACGCTGGGAAAAAAAATCGTTCTGCCAGCTCGTTCTTCAAAACGATAATAAACGAAAGAAAAGAAGAAATGTCCAATATTTTCGGAGACGTTTGACATTTTTACAAAAGAGAAGTATCTTCATTTCCCCACGATGCCACACGATGTTAAAATCACCTTTGAAAAAGAAAAAAAAAAGTAAACGAGCTCAGCACGTTGTTCTGTGATCTTTAAACGAGAGATCAAGTGAATTGTGCAAAGTTGTCATAGTCGAAAATCATCGACAATCTTTCATCCTCGTTATTGGTACAGTTATATGGCTGTTCGCTGTGTGTAACGGAACTATAGAATATAAAATACGATAAACATAAAAATATCACGCTGTGTGGCGAAAGGATCGTGCGCCGTTTAGCAAAATCGAAGGAGGAAGCGATATTTCTACGTTGTCCTTGTCCCTGTTGCGTGGAAATCGTGGACAATCGCGCGCCTAACATAACGTCTGAACGGTCGTAACGCCACAAAGCCGCACCAGCCAAGTTTCAATTTCATTTTCACATTCCCTCGACGAATCGTCCTATCATATCCCGTGGACGAGCCGCGGAAAACATATCGACGCCAGCTATTCTGTTTGTTTCTCCTCAGAATGTCTCCGAACAGCTTGGATTTGACGCTTGGATCGTAAATCCAAGTACTGTCGGGAGAAAAGGACATAGTTTCACATAGTCTCAAAAGGCTCGCGTCAATATCTAGATATTTGTCGAACGTCTAGACGGAGATTATACATTTTCGTGCCGATATCATAGCGCGCGGCGCAAGTGGAATTAGCCTGTGTGTAAATGCCCCGGTACGTGGGGTGATTTCGCGCGAATTACGAGAATTTCGGGCTGATTCGCGGATCGTACGCGCAAAAGTTTTCCGCCCGCTATTTTCGTACGTAGCCAGGGGAGGGACGGCGGACGATCTCGCTTTGAGCGGAGATATCGCCATGTTGACCGCATAAATCGACCGTAGATATGGCGGTTAGTCCTGTGTGCACGCGCAGGCGAGCACAAACGTACACAGCTACACGCGTGCGGGATTTTAACGCGAGTCGGACAAGCGGGCATACGCATGTATTGAAAGTAATCTACAGTCGGATTACTTTGATGGCGCAGTCAGCCTAAGCGGATCAAAGGGACTTTCTTTCTCTCTCTCTCTCTCTCTCTCTCTCTCTCTCTCTCTCTCTCTCTTTCCGTATCTCGTTCAGTCTGTCTCTGTTCGACTTCTTCCCGGTTCCTCCGGGCCCCAGTTTATCTTTGTTAGATACTTCACGGAGACGTGTCTAATGCGCTGTCCGCATTAATACCAACCGATCCTACACGCTCGACGCTCTACGCCCTGCCTTTCATCTCACGCTGATTTAAACCGTGTTGTGAAAAAGAATTTACTGAATCGTATGCGTGTATCGTCCTCGGCGATAGGGTTGGAACACGACCCATCGACGAAACTAACAGAAATAGATGCTTGCTCCTCTGTGTGCTACTCTGCTCCCCGTCGAGTATACTGAAAAATCTTGATCCGAGTCGAGTCATTCTCTTTGATCTCACATTTTCGCGTTATCTTTCACGTTTCATATACCTATCTTGTCTAATGTCTTAGAGCCCATATTTCATATTGCTAATCCACATCTCACTTTTGCGTTTCATATATTGTTCCCATTCCCTCTGCTCTGCGTGGAGTAAAATGTCTGCACGCCCTTTCGACGAGCCTATCAATTTTCTTCGCACACTTTGTACAAATCGTCGCACTTCGTAACAACAAAAATTCCACAGAGTGGAATTGCAACAAGAGACTTCAACAACCCCTTGCGATTAATTGCAATTTCAACGATACCCCAAGTGTAAATACACGTGATTGTACAATTGCAACTAAACTTACTCTACATTTATTTCAAATAAAAGGTCTTTATCTTTCTTTTCAACGCTTAATATCTCGTCGCGTTAATTACTTTTCTATTTTATCCCCGGTTTAATGGCCCTTTACGCGTCGTGTCACCGACAGAGTTAGAAAAAAAGAAAGGTACGTGCATGTACAGGGTGAGTCTCGTAACGTGACGACATCAAATAACTCGTTTTAAATATTTGTTGCACGAAAAAATGTTCCGATACAAGTTGCATGGCTTCCAAGGGGACGTAAAATATTGTAATCGGGATTATTATTATTGAGATATACAGGGTGTTTCGTAACTTGTGGGACCCACTTCGGGAGCTGATCGTACGCCTAAAAATGAAATGAAAAAAAAAAGTCATATAAATATATGTCTTATCTGTCTTCGTTTATGAGATATAATGGATTTTATAAACAGAGCGAAGTGGGTCCTACAAGTTACAAAACACCCCGTAAATAATTCAGATTAACAGTCTTTTCTAATACAATGTAAAAAGATATATTTGCTAATATCTCAGTAACTATGTATTTTAGATCCTATTTCGTGCAATACTTTTAGAATCCAACGCTTTATCCGAATTCGTGAAGGAACATTAACTATTCTGTTTAAAAAATTGGAGGTGACCTGCGTATCTTGATAAAAAAGCAAAATAGCATGAAACTGATTACAATACTATACGTCCCCCTAGAAACCATGCAACTTCTATTCGAACATTTTCTCAAATACCACAAATATTTAACGAGTTATTTGATGTCGTCGACGTTACGAGACTCACCCTGTATAATTTTAACATTGTATCGGCTCGATTAATTGGCCGATTTCTTTCTTCCTCTTTTTTTTTTGCCCCGTGCCCCCCTTTTAATTACGAATACTGCGAACGTGCCGTGTAATAAGTCTCAAAGTGAAGCGATCATCGATTCGATTACTATGTTTCAACGTTAATTAACCGCGGTCGATGATTTCCTCGCGGGTTATCGTAACATGCCGTGGATTAATTATAGTGTCGAGGTGAAAGACAGAAAGTCCGAAGGCGACAGCGGGTTCCGGCGGGGACTTTCACGTTTCTCCCTTCCCTCCCTCCCTCTCCCGCCGGTCGGTGCAACTGGCAACCCGTCAATTAGCGCCACTGTCACTGCCTTTAAGGTTCAGCCAGCCTGGAACCCCCTTCTCCTCCTCCTCCCTTCGCGCGCTATTATCGCCAAGAATTACGGGTATGTACAGCTGTCAACTGGCAAGTCCCGTTTCCGGTTAAAACTAGTTGCCCGTTATCCGCTCGATTAACAATCAATTAGGATCGTCTGACAGCCGTTCAAGAGATTCCAGCCAGCCAGCCAGATAATGTACACTTTACGCGACCATTTTTTTTTTCTTTACGCGAGCTTTTAAATTCGTAACAGCCGCGCCTTTTTTTCGATCAACGTCGATCAACGGAACAACGCGCGATCTTTGATCGTACAACCTGCTGTGTCACGAGATTTCAAATGTCGATGGCGTGTGCAGTTGCTCGCGAAAGTATCGGAACGGTTGTAGAAACGTATCGCGCAAAACTGTGTAAAACTTTCTGACATTTTTTCCTTTTTTTTTTTTTTTTTTT